ATACAATTGATATATACATATATAATGCACTATATTGTTATATATTAATATATATATTAATGGGGATATTAAAATGGCTTCCAGACTGGGGTCCCCGCTGGTCAAACAATGGGTGTTTTCTGACAGAAAGGCCAAAAATCCAGTAGTCATCCAGTCCATGAGGCTGGTGTCTCAACTGGTCTTCAGTACACAGCAGAACCCAGAAGGAGGGGGCCACAGTGCAGGGAAAGAGGAAAACTTTCTTGTCCTTTACATAGGCTGCCAGTTTAGGGTGGGTCTTTGAATCTCACACCATCCAGATTTAAAGTAGATCTTCCAACCTCAAGCGACCTGGATTTAAGGAGGATCCTCCCGCCTCAAACAATCCAATTAACTAAAAATTCCCTCACAGGTATGCTCAGGGACTTGGGTTTTTAGTTCAAGTTGACAGTCTTTTAAAAAGTACGCGTGTCTGTGTGCGTGTGCAGAGGTGGGGTGTGTCTGTGTACACAAGCAGCAGACTCCTCGGAGCTGGAGATACAGGTACTCATGGGACACCTATCTTAATATACAGGCACTAAGATGTGGACTCTGGTGCTCCTGTTTCCCAGGAGATGCTCTTAACCATGGAGCCATCCTTCCAGCCTCTGTTTTGTACGATTTGTTGTTGTTGTTTTATTTGTGGCTATTTTGTTGTTCAGGTTTTGATTTTAAGACGGGATCTCACCATGCCGTCCATGCTGGCCCTGAATTCAAGACTCTTCCAGCCTCAGCTAACCTCAGTACTGGGGATTTCTAGGAAGCACCACTGTATCTGACTGCATGTTAGCATCTACTGTTCTGAGCGTTCTGAGGGCATCTTCTGTCCCTCTGGGCAAGTCACATGTTTCATCTTCGGAAGCTTCAGGAGCTGTTCCTCCTACCTGGTTCTGGATCATAGAAGTCATGGCCATTCCGGGTGCTTACTCACCCGGAATGAGATTTTACCCCTGAGTTCCTGGGAGTGTTGCCATGACTATCCCTGGGCAACCCTACTTAGAGAACACTTGCCTGAAGGGCATTCCAGAACCAACCAGCATCCAGTGGCTGACAGTATGGGAGGTGAAGGCCCAGCTCCCTTACCTCAGCTGGTACCAACTCTGCGGGGTCCTGCCAGCTCTAACATGACCACGACAGGGCAGCTGAAGGTCTTACAGGTTCTTCATTACAGCCCAACTTCTCTGTGTGTCGGTCTTGTTTCTCCTGTGATGTTCTACACTCATCCCTCGGACAATCAATCCAGCCTGTGTTTTGTTAATGGTTAAGTGTGACAGCGTTCTGTCTGATGTGGGATGTCCTTCTGTATATATGTTGCTTTTATTGGCTAATGAATAAAGCTTCTTTGGCCTATGGCAGGGCAGAATATAACCAGACTGGGAAAGAGAAAGAGAGAGAGAGAGAGAGAGACAGAGAGAGAGAGAGAGAAGGCGGAGTCAGGGAGACACCATGTAGCTGCCAAAGTAGAAAGACAGACACTAGAACTTTACCGAGTAAGCCACAGCCTCATGGTGACACACAGAATAGAAATGGGTTAATTTAAGATCTAAGAGCTAGCTAGAAATATGCTTGAGTCATTGGCCTAACAGTATTGAAATTAATATAGTTTCTGCGTGATTATCTGGGTCTGTGCAGCCAGGAAGTGAATGGGCAGTCTCTGTTTACATCTGTCCATCACAGCAACCCCAGCATGGTACCAAAGGGGGAGACAAATTATTTCTTCTTTTCTCACCACTCTTATGCCACATAGGGTTTGAGCTCACAGCCAGAGCAATAGGCAATAGAGAGAAATAAAAAGGATATAAATTTGAAAAGAAAAACATTGAACTGAAGAAATATCTCAGCAGTTAAGAGCACTGGCTGCTCTTCCAGAGGACCTGAGTTCAATTCCCAGCACCCACATGGTGGCTCAGAACCATCTATAGTGAGATCTGATGCCCTCTTCTGTCATACAGGCATACATGGCAGGCAAAACATGTATACATAAAAAAAACTTTTTTTTAAAAAAATTATCCACTGGGTGGTGGTGTTGTATGCCTTTAATCCCAGCACTTGGGAGCCAGAAGCAGGTGAATCTCTATGAGCTGGAGGCCAGTCTGTGAGTTCCAGGATAGGCTCCAAAGCTGCAGAGAAACCCTATCTCGAAAAAAAAGAAAGGAAGGAAGAAGAAAGAAATTATCCCTATTGGCAAAAAATATGATTCTATACTTCAAAGATCCTAAAGCTTATCCTAAGAAACTCTTCGAGATGATAAACATATTGAGCCAGGGTAGAAAATAGACACAATCAGTAGCTCTCTCTCTCTCTCCTTCTCCCTCCTCCTCCTTCTCTTTCTTCTCTTTTCTTGGGCTGACTCAGAGTCTCAAAATTGGCTTGGAACTCACAAAGTAGCAGAGGATGACTTTGAACTCCTGATCCTGTCTCTACCTTCCAAGTACTAGGATGACAGGCACGTGCCATAATGCCCAGCTTTTAGCAGTATGTTTTCTATACACTGGTTTTCTTTTAACGCTGAGAAATGAATCAGGAATACCGTTTATAATAGCTAAAAAAAAAAAGTTAAGGTTGAAAGGATCAGCATGTGAATCTTTTTGTTTGTTTTTTTGAGACAGGGTTTCTCTGTAGTTTGGAGCCTGTCGTCCTGGAACTAGCTCTTGTAGACCAGGCTGGCTTTGAACTCACAAAGATCCGCCTGCCTCTGCCTCCTGAGTGCTGGGATTAAAGGCATGCACCACCACTGCCCGGCCAGCATGTGAATCTTGAAAATAAAATAGAAACCAACATGATGGCTCAGAGAGGAAAGCACTTGCTTAGGAGGCAGGGCACCCAGAGTTCCAGCCCAGAACCCACATAAAGGAAGAGCAAGAGCACCAGTTCCAACAAGGAGTTGTCCTCAGACATCCATACAGCACAGCAGTGTTCACGTATACATAATTTATGCCAACACATATGAAACAGCAGCATTCACATGCATAAATGTTATGCCTACACACATGACATAGTGGCACTCATGTGCACATGTCATGCTTATGCACACAACATAGTAGCCCTCACATGCCCATATGCCATGCCTACCCATACAACACAGCAGCACTCACATGTACATGTCTTGCCTACATACACAACACAGCAACTCACATGCACATGTCGTGCCTACAAACAACACAGCAGTTCTCATGTGCACATGTCGTGCCTACATACTACACAGCAATACTTACATGCACATGTCTTGCCTACATACACAACATAGCAACTCATGTGCACATGTCATGCCTACATACAACACGGCAGCATTCACGTGCACATCATGCCTACATACAACACAGCAGCACTCATGTGCGCATGTCATGGCTACACACACACTATACTAAATACATTTTAAAAGCAAGGTGATGAGAAGGCTGAGCAAATAAAGGTGTTTCCCGCTAAGGCCAGAGTTACATGGTGGAAGGAGAGAGCTGAGTCCACTAGTGTCCTCTGAGCTCCATGTGCGCACACCACCCTCCATAAATAAATAAATGTATCTTTTTAATCTTTTTGTTGTTGCTGTCTTGGTTTTCTCTGTAGCTTTGGAGCCTGTCCTGGAACTAGCTCTTGTACCAGGCTGGCCTCGAACTCACAGAGATCTGCCTGCCTCTGCCTCCTGAGTGCTGGGATTAAAAGTGTGCGCCACTACTTCCGGGCTAAATTTTTTCCTAGACATTGTTATAATATTTTGTTATGTATCAAATTGTCTTCAATATAACTTACAACCTGATTAAATCTGATAGACTCTTTTATCTATTTAAAGACAAAAAAATTCTCTTTATGTACAGTATCTTCTGTCTGGAGTCAGGCAAATATAGCACCTTTCATTGCAGGATTTTTGCTTAACATAACAAGCAAAAATAATGAAAAAAAAAAGTCAAAGCGAATTGAACCCCCAGATCCCTCAACTACATATGTCAATGGTGAATAAAACATTAAAAAGGCAAATACAGAATAACTTTTGTTTAGAAATGTATAATGAATACTAATATTAGTGGCAAAAAAATTCAAACAGCCCCAATAGTACTAGGGGCCCGATGCTACCTCTCTGGGTCGGGGCAGACTCTAGATCATTTCTTGGCTGCTGCGAATGGCGCAGCACAGGATCACGCTGAAAATTATGCCGAAGATCATCACCACAGCAATGCCAATGCCCAGTGCTCCAATGACGTGGAACTTGCTGTTGAAGACATCATTGATGGCTTCTGGGCAGGACTTAACCTGGAAGGCTTCAAGAACTTGCTTTTGGGGGCAGATGTCCGAGATAAACTGTTCCTTGCCTCCCACTAGGCCACAGCAGTCCAATGCCACGTGGATGGCTTTGAGTGTCTCCCGCTGGGGCTCATCCTTGCTCTTCAGCTTTTGGTAAGTGTCCTTGTAGAATTTCTGGAGTTCCTTAATCACCTCACCCTTGTGGGTATAGCCCCACATGGCTGCAGCTGTCTCAATGGCAAATATCACCAGTAGGGATCCAAAGAACAATCCCAGCATGCACTGGGATTCTTGCACAACTCTGCAGCAGCCCAGGAAACCCACCAGCACCATGAGGGCCCCAGCTCCAATCATGATGTACACTCCTGTGTAGAAACTGGAATGATTAGATTCTTTCTCTTGGTTTGAGAGTCGAATCGGAGCCATAGTCCAATGGCAAGAACTGCAATTCCGGCTAGCCAGAAGATGAAGTTAAATCCAAAGAGCAGGTATTTGATGCACTTATTACCCCCTTTGACTGGCATGTTGTAAGCTGGGCTTCCATGGCACAAGAAGCACGCACGACTGGGACAGAAGGGACGCGGCAACAGACTGAGACACGCTGAGGCTGGGGGCTGGACTACGGCTCCCCCGGCTAATTTTTTAATCTTTAAATAAGAAAATGGAGCCATAAATAAACAGATGTACACAAATAATAAAAATCCAGGGACAGAGCCTTTTGGTTCGTCAACCGTCAGTGAGGCAACATGGGTCACCAGCAGCTCTACTGGAGTCACCCACGGAAGTTCGGCCAGGGATCCCGCTCCTGCCGCCACGGTCTGATCCGGAAATACGGGCTGAACATGTGCCGCCAGTGTTTCCGGCAGTACGCGAAAGACATCGGCTTCATTAAGTTGGACTAAGCGACCTTGATTGGATTCTTCAAGACTCTACCCAGTGAAACAGATCGATGCCAGTCTTTGTACATAAGAATTTAAAAAAAGTGAAGACCGTCAAAAAAAAAAAAAATCCAGAGACAGAAATTGGGGTCCAACCTGAAAACCAGAAAAGCAAGGCAGCCAAACCACTAGAGAAGTCTTCCCTCTATGAAGGCTGCGAAGGCAAACTAAGCCGCCATGACTTTCTCTCCTCGTTCATTTTATATTCCCTCTAGTGCTGTGATTAAAGGAGTGACTCCCTAGGATTGGGATTAAAGGTGTAGGCCACCACCTCCTGGATTTGTTTCTGCTTTGATCTTGTGTAGCCTAGGGTGTCCTTGAATCCCAAATCCTGGGATTAAAGGTGTGAGTGTCACCATTCCCTGGCCTCTAGTGGCTTTAGCTTTGCCTCTGGTCTTCAGGCAAGATTTATTCATTAAATAAATACAAATACAAATATACCACTATAAACTGTAAATCCCAGCTTCTGGCCTCCATTTTTGGAGGCCCCCTCCCCTATGCCCTTCAAGCCTTGACCCCTCCCCAGGAAAGGTCAAGACCACACCCATGGGCTATTTAAACTGCTCCCCACATGATTTTCCCTTTTCTACTCAGGTGGTCACCAACTGGTGACTTTCCATTCAGGGCCAACCAGGAGCACAGGTGTCTAATTAAACCTGGGTATTTTTAATCTGATCTGATTTGGCTTGATTGGGATTATTTTGTGTCGACAGAGAGCTCACATTAGGAAAATATTCCTAATGTAAACAAATGTAATTTTTATCTTAAATAAGAAAATGAAGCTAGGTATGATGTCGTACACCTTTGATCCCAGCACTCTAGAAGCAGAGGCAGGCAGATCTCTGTGAGTTCCAGGACAGTCAGGGCTGTTACACAAGTAAACCCTGTCTTGAAAAAAAGCAAACAGAAAGAAAGAAAGAGAGAGAGAGAGAGAGAGAGAGAGAGAGAGAGAAAGAAAGAAAAGAAGATGAGTGTGTTGCTGACCATTTCTAAGGCAATTACAGCATTCTCTTGGTGTTTCATGTTCATTGGTGTTTTGCCTGCATACATGTCTGTGTGAGGGATCAGAAGGATCAGATCCCCTGGAACTGGAGGTACAGACAGTTGTGAGCTGCCATGTAGGTGCTGGGGATTGGTCCTCCAAAAGAGCAGTATATACTATTAACCGCTGAGTGATCTCTCTCGCCTCATCTCTTGGTGTTTTGTGGGGTTCCCTTCAGTGTAAACTAGCTGGACACACTGATGTATCTGTAACAAAATAGTCATACGACATCATTTGCAGATGGGGTTAGAGAAAGTCTATGGCTTCTTGGGTGTTTTCTCTCTTTCTCTTAGATCATTTACCACAGGAAAGCTGGCAGCTTTGTAATGGGACAACCCCAACACCGTGGAGAGTCCACTGGGTGAGAACTAACCCTGCCAACCACCACGTGAGTGAATTTTGTAAACAGTCTCCCTCTTCAGCCTTGCTGAATCCACAGCTGAGACCGTAACACCCACCACAGCCTGCAGCCTCTCAAGATCCTGAGCCGGGAGCACCCACTAAAGGCATCTGGATTCCAGATTCGTAGCAATGTTGACAAGTGATATGATACAAGTCATATGCCAAGTAACAATTGCTAATAGAGACTGCAGACAGGGTTGGTGCGTGTCTGTAATCTTGACACTTGGGAAGCTGAGATGAGAAAATAACAACTTTGTTTTTGCTTTTGGTTTTGGTTTTTCAAGACAGGGTTTCTCAAAAGCTATGGAGCCAGTTCTGGAAAGGTAGGCCAGGCTGGCCTTGAACTCCAAGAGATCTGCCTGGTGGGATAACAAGTTTGAGGTCATCTGCTACACTGTTGAGTTCAGGACAACCTAAATTATATGATTGCCTGTCTCAAAAGAGAAAGGTAAGCTGGGCATGGTGGTGCACACTTTTAAACCCAGCACTGGAGAGGGTGAGGCAGGTGGATTTCTGTGAATTTGAAGCCAGTGTAGTCTACATAGTTCCAGGACAGCCAGAGCTACATAGTAAGACCCTGTCTCAGAGAGAAAGAGAGAGAAAAGGTGGGGAACCTGGCTTCTGAGGACTGGCAAGGCAGATAAAAAGTAGCGTACAAACATAGTTTGCAGGAAATCTTGGGTTTTATCCTGAAAACTTACAAGTAAATAAATAAATAAATCTGGAGGGCTGGAGAGATGGCTCAGTGGTTAAGAGCATTGCCTGCTCTTCCAAAGGTCCTGAGTTCAATTCCCGGCAACCACATGGTGGCTCACAACCATCTGTAATGAGGTCTGGTGCCCTCTTCTGGTCTGCAGACATACACACAGAATATTGTATACATAATAAATAAATAAATATTTTAAAAAAATAAATAAATCTGGAGACAGCTCAGTGTTTAAAATTTAAAAGCATGGGTTGCTCTTCCAGAAGACCTGGACCTGGGTTCCACTCCCAGCACCAACATGGTGACTCCCAACTGTCTGCAATGCTAGTTCCAGGACCAGATGCTCTCGTATGGTCTCCAAGGGCATCAGGCACAAACATGATACACAGACACACATGCAGGCAAAACTTCTGTATGTATTTAAATTTCTTAAAGGATTGGCCAGGCAGTGGTGGCACACGCCTATAATCCCAGCATTTGGGAGGCAGAGGCAGGTGGATCTCTGTGAGTTCTCAGTTAGCCGGATCTACAGGCTCCAAAGCTACACAGAAAAATCCTGTCTTGAAAAACAAAAACAAACAAACAAACAAGATCTGGCCTCTAAACAAAGATCAAACAGAAAAACAGGGCTTCAAGACAAAGCTCCTGGGTGAGATGCTCAGCTCAGCGGATAAAGGTGCTGGCTGCTCAGGCCTGTGGATCTGAGCGCCATCCCCAGACCCCACGATAAGAGAGCGTTGATTCCTGAAAGTTGTCCTCTGACCTCCACATGCACAGCACTCGGACACATATACGCCACATTTGTCCTCGCATAAGCAGACACACACATACACAAAGTTTATTAATTAAAAAATTAAGATTCAGGCCTATTGAGAGTGTCCTAGATCTAAATAAATACAATTAAAAGTCAATATAAGCTAGGCAGTGGTGGCACACACCTTTAATCCCACCACTCAGGGAGGCAGAGGCAGGCAGATCTCTGTGAGTTCAAGGCCAGTCTGGTCTACAAGAGCTAGTTCCAGAGCAGGCTTCAAAGCTACAGAGAAACCCTGTCTCAAAAAAAAAAAGTCAATATAATATCTCAGGGGCTCAGCCATTAAGAACACCTTGCAGAAGACCAGAGTGTAGTTCCTAACACCCACATCAGGCAGCTCCCATCCACCTGTCACTCCCATTCCAGAGGATCTGATCTCTTCTTTTGGCCTTCAGGGGCTCCTATCCACACAGCATCTACTTACATGTACACACACCTACACATATAAATAAAGAAATTTAAAAAACCAAAAAGATGTTACTAAATAGATCAATCTTAGACATGACAAAGGAGACTCCTCAGACTGCTAGAAGGCTACACAAAGGCCTATTCATGAGATTAAAGGTGTGCCTCAAGTCCAAATGGATCAAAGACCTCAACATAAAGCCAGCCACACTGAACCTTATAGAAGAGAAAGTGGGAAGTACACTTGAACGCATTGGCATCAGGAACCACTTCCTAAATAGAACCCCAGCAGCAAAGACACTGAGAGAAACAATTAATAAATGGGACTTCCCGAAACTGAAAAGCTTCTGTAAAGCAAAGGACATGGTCAACAAGACAAAACGACAGCCTACAGAATGGAAAAAGATCTTCACCAACCACGCAGCAGACAGAGGTCTGATCTCCATATTATACAAAGAACTCAAGAAATTGGTCACCAAAAAAATACATAATCCAATAAAAAAAAATGGAGTACAGACCTAAACAGAGAACTCAACAGAGGAATCTAAAATAGCTGAAAGACAGCTTAGGAAATGTTCAACATCCTTAGTCATCAGAGAAACGCAAATCAAAACAACTCTGAGATTCTATCTTACAACTATAAAAATGGCCAAGATCAAAAACACTGATGACAATTTATGCTGGAGAGGTTGTGGGGAAAAGGGAACACTTCTGCCTTGCTGGTGGGAATGCAAGCTGGTACACCCTTTTGGATGTCAGTATAGCGATTTCTCAGAAAATTAGGAAACAACCTTCCTCAAGACCCAGTAATACCACTTTTGAGTATATATATGAGCCACAAGGACATGTGCTCAACCATGTTCATAGCAGCTTTGTTTGTCATAGGCAGAACCTGGAACAACCTAAATGTCCCTCAATCGAAGAATGGATTAGAAAAATGTGGTACATTTACACAATGGAGTACTACACAGCAGAAAAAATAACGACAGCTTGAATTTTGCAGGAAAATGGATGGAACTAGAAAACATTATTTTGAGTGAGGTAACCCAGACACAGAAAGACAATTATCACATGTGCTCACTCATAGGTGGTTTTTAAACATAAAGCAAAGAAAGCCAGCCTACAAACCATAATCCCAGAGAACTTAGACAACAATGAGGACACTAAGAGAGACTTACATAGATATAATCTACATGAGAAGTAGAAAGTAGAAAAAAACAAGATCTCCTGAGTAAATTGGGAGCATGGGGACCTTGGGAGAGGGTTGAAGGGAGAGGGGAGAGGTAGGGAGGGAAGCAGAGAAAAATGTAGAGCTCAATAAATATCAATAAAAAAGGGGGGAAAGGGTGTGTCGTGGGGCTCCTTTCCATTAAACAACAGGGTCTCTAGGACACTTAGAGATGGAGAAGGCTTTATCTCAAAAGAGGTGTGGAGATCCGTCTAAGTGTTGGACCCTAGAGTCCAAACACCGAAGAGGAGTTGCCCCCAGAGACCACCCCTCACACCACAGCTGATGTAAAAGCATTGAGGATTTTATTAATTCTGTCATGACAGGGTCCCTCAGCATTCGGGAAGCCGAGAGATCTCGAATACCTGATACAGGCTACTTTTAAAGGAAAAAGCCACAGAAACAAGGTGGGGGAGGTTCTTTGACTAT